AAAAAAAAAAGAAAGGAAGGAAGGAAGGAAGGAAGGAAGGAAGGAAGGAAGGAAGGAAGGAAGGAAAGAAGGAAGGAAGGAAGGGAAGGAAGAAAGAAAGAAGTGAGTGAACAAAACAAGAAGTGAAAAGAATGGATCAAGTTTACTCAGAAAAGGACCACATGCTGTATGGTTCCATTATATGAAAGGTCCAGACCAGGCAAATAGATAGAGACAGAACGTAGATTCGTGGTCGTCAGGGGCTGGGGTGGAAATGATGATTGACTGCTATTACAAGGTTTCTTTTATGAATGAAAGATATTAGATATGGTGATCGATACATGACTATACTAAAGTCATTGAATTGTATACTTACTAAGGGTGAATTTTAGATGTTAACTGTACCTCAATAAAACAAATTTTTCACCTACTCAGAAACTTCCAAAGACTAGCCATGCTGATATCTCAGCTATCGGGATCTCACACCAGGATCAGGCCACGTGATGTATGGGAACATCAACATATGCGATGGCTTTACCATCATCTGAAGGAACCCTAGCCCAACATCACCCATTGAACTACAGCTCACAACACCATCCCCCAGCTGAACTAAGGACAGCCATGTCATGTTTTACCATTGCTAAGCTCTGGTGCGTGTATATCTCTCAGGATCCTCACATCACCTTTGTAATTACCATTTTATTAGTGGATACTTGTTGAGCTTAAGCAACCATGACTTTACTAGTAAGTGGACTTCATATCTTCCCATTCCAAACTTGGTGTTGGATTTGGGAAGGGATTAGAATAAACTGTAAGAGACAGTATCAGGAAAATATTTCTGGGACAGCTTGCAGGGAACAGGTATTTGGGGAACAGAGTATCTCTGTGAGGCAACTTGAGTGGTTAACAACCTCAGTTCTCCAGCAGGGGGCACCCACAGCTCTTTAGCTGTCAGGGGCACCCAAGTGTAATGAAGGAAAGAAACTGGTTCTTGAGTGCCTGCTGTGTGCCAGCCAGGTGCTGTGTTGGGTGCTGTAGAAATCCCCCCCCCCCACTCTGTTATAACACAATCAGAGATTAGTTGAGGCAGATGGAGCTCAGGCTGTATGTAGACAGGGAAGCAGGTGAGGGGAGGGAGAGGAGCAAGGTGGTGGGCAAAGCCTTCCCCTGACATTGTGGATTGAACACGGGGAAGAAAGGAGAAATTCTGAATTTGATTCACATTTTACTTCTTAGTTATGTGGCATTGGGCAAATTACTGGATGTCTTTGAGCTTATTTCCTTTTCTATAAAATGACTGTGGTCACTGGAAAGACTAAACGAGTTCTATCCATGAAAGTGCCTAATCTGTCTTCTGCCCTGGGATAAAGCTTTCTGTGTCCTTATGTCTTTGAGCTTATTTCCTTTTCTATAAAATGACTGGTCACTGGAAACACTAAACGAGTTCTCTCCATCAAAGTGCCTAATCTGTCTTCTGCCCTGGGGTAAAGCTTTCTGTGTCCTCGCCAAGGCAGCCTTCGTTTTACTCCGGCCATTCCCTGCCTCTCAGGCTCGGCCTTTCTCCACGTAGAGCCAGTTTCTCTGTCCCTGGAACCCGAGCCTTTCTCCTTGGAACTTGCTAGGGAACTTGCTGGGGAATGGAGCGGTTCGTCCCTGCCTTTTATATCTGTTTCTCTCTACGTGGAAATTCCAGACCCCCTTTGTTCATCTCCCGTGCCCAAGGCCTGGTCCCATTGTGAACCTAAAGATACAGACCCTGCAACAGACGGAGATGTGGCAGGACAGCAAAAAGGTGGTCCGAGAAATGTCCTCCTGCATCAGCCTTGGCCTCGCCTGCCTCTGAGCCACAGCACAGACTGTAGACAGTCCCAGTCAGAAAGGAGGCACCCAGGACCTCCTGAAACCTGTCCCCACCGCACCACCACCAGCACCACACCAAGCCCCGCCTGGCGAAGGGGTGGGCAGCCCCTCACCTGGGAGGCCGTGGTCCCGGCTGCGCTGCATGTTGAGAGCCGCCAGGTCCAGCCCGATTCTTCTCACTTGCTGAAACAGCCGTTCCCGGAGCTCGTCCACTAACATGGAATCCTGCCGGTTCAGCTTGGCGGGGGTGGCCATGAGGCCTCGGAGGATGGGGTCGATGCCACCTGGTGGTGAGTAATGTGAGCAGCACAGATTGGAACAGCTCTGGGAAGCCCCTGCGTCATCGTCACAGGAGGCCCAAGTAGCTCAGAGCTGGATAAGCCAGTCACTTTTATTCTGTGACGATTATTTCAGAAAACAGAGGCCTGGGTGGACATGAAGAGAGCTGGTGCTGTCAGGGCAAGGGGTCACCCCTACTTAAAGGAGTGGAAGGCAAGCTTCTTTCAGGCCCACAAGCCACCAGTCTGACAGCCATCTCCTGCCCTTTTAGAAATCCCTCATCCCAAAGGGGATGGGAGACCCGTGGCTGAGGGTCTTGGTGGCCCCTGCCTTGTTTTCACTGTCCTGGGGAGATGATTAGCCGTGGCCCGAGCAGCAGCTGGCCTCCTGGCAGTAGGCCTGGCCCAACTGGAGGGGGTGTGCTCCCCAACCCCACTCCCAACTGCCTCTGGAAAACCTGGTCACCTTCATGCACGATTCGCCAGCTGGCAAAGAAGGCAGAGCTGAGCGGAACACGCGAGTTGGGTGCTGAGGCCCGGTACTGGCTGTCCAAGCGGTACACGAAGGGCTGGAGCATGGTGTGCCCAAAGCGGAAGGCCAGGGTGAAGACATTGGACACGCGAGGGTCCACATTGGAGCAGTACCCCAAGTAGGGCCCCAGGGTTCTCTTGGCCCGGGCCCTGCCCAGAACCAGGGGCAGAAAGTCTCGGTAGGTGATGATCTAGAAGAGAAGACGTAGGAAGAAATGACCTTAGCGGCTGCCTAGCCCACTCCTTTACCTTTGGACAGACCTTTGGCTTTTCGAAGGGCTCCTCAGACATAAATTCTTGAATGTCTATCATGTCAGATGTCGCAACATTGATTTCCCATTGGCTGATGAGATGCTGAAGCCCAGAGAGGCCGAGTGACATGGGTAGGCTCACACCGTGAGTTGGTGGCGGAAATGAGGGGACAGGTCAGATCTCGGGCATACACACTCAGACCTGACTTACTTGAGGTGCATCCCCAAGGATGTGTTAAGGAGGGTGGGAGCCACTTTTTTCAGATGCTTCTCATGCCAGATTTTCTCTAGGGGATGCTGGGACCCCAGGCTCCCTACCTGGACCATGGCCCCCACGATCTTCCGAGCCTCCTGGTAGAGCTGGTCTCCAGTCCACTGTGGATTCAGGCGTCTCAGCTCGGTAGCCAGCCGGTTGTGCTCTCGCATAAAGAGGGTATGCATGGCTGTCAGCGAGGGGTTTTCGCTTGTTCGAGAGTCACCTTGAAAACCCCAAGTTCAGAGTCACCATAGCTCTTCCCAGAGAAATGTCTTTCTGCTAGGGCAGACAGAGTTCTGGGGGCTAGGCAAAGGTGGTGGGACTTTCTGACCCGTGTCAGGATCCTGGCCCTCACTCGGCCTCCATCTCCTCAGCTGTGAGGCCACTCACTGACCACCACCCTCTTCCCCAACACGACGGGCCAGGAGCGGGAAGACAGCGGGGTCTTGCATCCTTAAGTGATTGGAACAGGTGCCCGTGTGGGAAGAAAAGCTCAGGGCAGCTGCCAGCCTCGGCAGGAAAATCGTTGCCGAATGATTTTACTCCACAAGATGACCAGCTGGTGCAGAGACCGGGATGACCAGGAACCTTGACTTGGGGACCCCGGGCACCTCTCCCAGGGAACTGCATCCGTGTGCATGTTCTCTATCGAGGGCGGGATCTTCCACCAGCTTTGGAATTGCTACCATGCAAGAGGGAGGGTTGGGCAGAGCCTCTTTCTGCAGCTAGACCTTTTCTCCCAGAGGCCAGGAGGCAGAGTAAATGCCTGACAGTGGGCCTTACAGTCATTTGCTGGCTCTGAACTAAGCCCTTTTGTACAAGGTCTTATTTAATCCACTTTTCAGTAAACCTCTCATGAAAGTGCAAGAAAAACCCATCTTGCCCTGGCCAGGTAGCTCGGCTGGTTAGAGCCTTGTCCCGATACACGAAGGTTGTGGGTTCGATCCCCAGTCAGGGCACATACAACAAGGAACCAATGAATACATAAATAAGGGGAACAACAAATTGATGTTTCTCTCTCCCAAAATCAATCAACAAAAAATTTTTAAAATACAGTCTCTAAAAAAGAAAAACCCATCTTGCCCTGGCCAGGTAGCTCGGCTGGTTAGAGCCTTGTCCCGATACACGAAGGTTGTGGGTTCGATCCCCAGTCAGGGCACATACAACAAGGAACCAATGAATACATAAATAAGGGGAACAACAAATTGATGTTTCTCTCTCTCAAAATCAATCAACAAAAAATTTTAAAAATACAGTCTCTAAGAAGGGCTGGAGCCAACTCCCTGTGAAGAAGGCAGTGGAATAGCGTGGAAAGAGCACAGACCTGGACGCTCCCCTGACCGCAGTGCCCTCTGTGGGCTCTGCCATCTGAACTCTGTGCTCTGGACACATTAGTCATCTTCCCTGCGCCCCAGTTTCTCATCTGTAAAGGAGGTGGTAACAGTGGCCTCCTGTCATGGCTGCTATAAGATGAGAGATGGCACATGTGAGTATCTTAACCAGAAAGGCTGCCCATATCAACCAGCACATGGGGGCAAAGAGCCCGAGGAGGGTTCAGATGATGCATCTGGAAGAAGGTACCAGGTACCAGTGTCTAGCAACAGTGGGGATGAGGGCTGGGGAGTAAAAACCTAAGGCAGTGGTCGGCAAACTGCGGCTCGAGAGTCACATGCGGCTCTTTGGCCCCTTGAGTGTGGCTCTTCCACAAAATAC